GGGGGAGGTCGGGCCTCACGGCGGATAGCAATGGCAATATGATCGATGAGCTCGTCCTCATTCGGAGTCGTCGTCGTCGGATCCGAATAAGGAGATGCGGTTGTACAAGAGAAAGAGCAGGAGGACGAGGAAGAGAGCGACGCCGACCGGGGACCCACTTAGGCGGTGGATTGAGTCCGGCTCGCCGGTAGAGAAGATGTTGGAGATCACCGTGCCTCGATCCGACGACAGGAACTGTATGAGAAGGAGCAGCACGATAGGGACTAGTAGCAGGCCGACTGGGCTCAAGATCTCCGAGATCGCTCCGGTCAGTGCTTCTCCCTGCTCGCTAAGTAGCACCGGCACCACCACCACTAGGCCCACCACCACCGCTAGCAACACCCCGTGCGGAGCTCCTCGCCTTTCTTCTATCATTTCTTCTTCTTTGCCTTCGTTGGTCGGGGAAGGGGGGGGCTCTAAGCTCTCTGCTACTTCCTTTATATAAGGAGAAACCGAGAAACAGAAACACTGAGAAGTGAGAAACAGAGAGTCCCACTGGGACGCGTTTGTCTATAAAAAGTGAAGAAAGGCGTCCCTGTAAAAGGGTATTTTCGTCAATTCATTGACATCATGAGGGCTGCATTGGAAATTGAAAACTCTATGCGATGACGTCATCCTCGCAAACAGACAAAAAGCCCCTGTCAGATCGCGTGTCGCATGATGATTGCACTTCTGCGTGGCGTCAAAGGATGGCCCGAATTTAAATTTTGACACGTGCCAACACGACGAGGCGCTTCTTCATATGAGCTTTCGCATTCTATGCCCTATTGGCCCAGGCCCAACAATTTCGATAAGACTTTTTGGGTTCAAATTGCTTCGTTATTTGAGTTAAGTAATCTTTTTCTTAACTTATTATCAATAAAAAAACACAACAAGCCCAAACATAAAATGACAATACTACCCTTAATATTACACCTTAACCAGGGGAAAAAGGCCAGTCAATCGATCGGGTTGGAGCCAATAGACCCGAATCAATTCGGAGTCCTTAGTGGACCCGAGTCAGACCCGACCTGTTGACAGCCACCCAGTTGGGTAGAAGAGGAGACAAGAATACGTGAATTCAGGTTAAACAAATAATGGTTGTGATTTGTGAGATAATCAAATGAGATCACATGAACGTCTGTTTCTAACTAAAAAACAAAACTTTTAAAAATGTAAAAGAAATACTTGGTGTATGTATCTCTAATCTCTATACAGTTGAAGCTGAGAAATTTATTGGAAACAGACATTGTTAGAATCCCTACATGAACACAGGAAGGATGTATTATATTTCATGGGGAAATTAATTGATCCATAGATATTATTACTTTATTAGCAAGATGAATAATACCATCTGTTGATTAACGCCTGAACCGAAGATTCTTTGATGATCACTAGGAACCTGCATCATTCACATGCTGCGTTGGGATTTCCTTTTTTTGTTAATTGAAGTGGATAGGTGAATCAATTTAAACATGAACCACCTACAATCTACATGGATGGAGAAACCAAGGGTGAAACTCAGGCCCTGTTTGGGACGTTTTCTACATTTGGGGCTATTCAGAATAGACCTCTTCATGGGTCGGGCTGGGTTTTTCTTTATAAATAGGATTTTATTAGGCTCGAGTCCAAGCCCGACCCAACCAACAGGCTTACAACATGGGCCCGAGCCTGGCCCTAATAAAAAGCCCAAAGCCCGACCTAACAGAAAGATGGCCGTTGGTGTTGAGTTCGCATGATTGTGTTTGTCAGTGTTGAGTTTGCGCTGATAAAGCTGAGCTGAGATTTTGAAAGTGAAAAGGAGAAGTGAGTTCGCGTCGATGAGAGAGAGAGAGAGAGGATTCACCACCGGTCCGCTAGAGTTCACTGGTTGCATTGATGTGTGTTCGTCAGTTCTGTCTTCCTGAGAGTGTGAGGTGTGACTGTGAAAACTGAGAAGAGAGAACTAAGGTTCGACTAAGACTAAGAGAAAGAGATGAGTGTGAAGAGAGGGGTTAAGATATTTAGGGTTAGGGCTTTTGCTTTAACTTAAAGGTCGGGCCGGGCTATTTTGACAAATCCCAAGCCCGATCTAAAATAAATTCAAGTCGGGCTTTTAGGCCTGATGTCAAACCCGTGGGCTCAAATCTGTGTTCGAGCCTGTCCAGGGGTTGGGCTGGCCCATCGGGCTACCCAGCCCATAAACAGGTCTAATTCAGAGTAGCTTCTATGTTATTCTTAACAATTTTGGCGTTGGGAACATCCGTATTGATTTTCTGGATTTTCAAATTTTCACCAAATATAGCTTCAAAAGATTTTCATATGGAGCTCCACTCGAAATGTCAAAAGTTAGCATCTCGAAAATCCTCTCAAATGGGAATTTAGATTGGAGCAGATTTACATTAAAATCAATTTGAACTGATTGGAAGATCCAAACATTGAATTGGACCGGTCCAACATGGTTCTGATTATACCAAATC